GTACTGTGGCACAGCAAGCTAAGCTGCCTCCTGCCGTGCCAGCATCCGTATCAGAGCACCAGTTTGAGTCCTGGCAGTTCTGCTTCTGATCTAGCTCCCTGCCAATGTTCCTGGGAAGGCACTGGAGGATGACCCGAGTCCTCCGTGTGGGAGACCCGGATGGAGTCTTCAGCTTGGCCTGGCACTGTGGCATTTGGGGCATGAACCAGCACATGGAAGAGCTCTCATCCACCCACCCATCCGTTTATTCTCTCTCTCTCTCCTTCCCCTCCCTCTCCCCCGATGCCGGGTGTGTTCCACTCTTCCCTTCAAATAAATAAACCTTAAAAATTTAAAGCATAAAAAAGCCAGGGCCACTTCTTATAAAACTAAATATACTCTTGTGACCCAGCTATTTTACTCCTTGGTATCTACTCAAATGAATTGAGATGCATGTCCTCACAAAGCCTGGTACACATATGTTTATCGCAGCTTTATAATAATTGCCAAAACCTGGAAGCCACCAAGGTGTTGCAGTAGGTGAATGGATAAACATGGTATATCCACATAATGGAATATTATTTAGTGTTCAAGAGAAATGGGGCCGGTGCCGCGGCTCACTAGGCTAATCCTCCGCCTAGCGGCGCCGGCACACCGGGTTCTAGTCCCGGTCGGGGCGCCGGATTCTGTCCCGGTTGCCCCTCTTCCAGGACAGCTCTCTGCTGTGGCCAGGGAGTGCAGTGGAGGATGGCCCAGGTGCTTGGGCCCTGCACCCCATGGGAGACCAGGAAAAGCACCTGGCTCCTGGCTCCTGCCATCGGATCAGCGCGGTGCGCCGGCCGCGGCGGCCATTGGAGGGTGAACCAACGGCAAAGGAAGACCTTTCTCTCTGTCTCTCTCTCTGACTGTCCACTCTGCCTGTCAAAAAATTAAAAAAAAAAAAAAAAGAGAGAGAAATGGGCTATCAAGCCATACAAAAACATGGAGGAAACTTAAATGTATATTAGTACATGTAAGAAGCCAATCCAAGAGACCTACGTGCTGTATGACTCCAATTATATGACATTCTGGAAAAGGTAG